TATTCCAAAAAAAAAAAAAAAAAAAAACTCAAAACTAGTAGGCCGTAAGGTTGGCCAGTCGGAATTTGACACACTTTATATTAGTTGACAAGTGTATGGTACTTTTCTCCTCTAGTGTGGGTATTATGAGGTGTTCAAATTTCTAGGTCTGTTTCTTGAACAATGGACCTTGTTGGGCTTCTTTCCATTGAAGTACATGTTTTATACATATTAAACTTGGGGGACATTTGTGGTAACGATTGAACTGTTTGTGTGACGACAATGTATTGTTCTGCTGTTGTCTAATTGCTAACACATACTTCGAATTTTATTATAGAGATTTGGTGGAAATCAAAGAATCAGAACGCCGAGCTTGTTCTCAGGCTGATGTTTTAAGAAGTGCTTTGGATGAGCATAGCCTTGAACTGAGAGTGAAAGCTGCGAATGAAACTGAAGCTGCTTGTCAACAACGGCTTTCTGCTGCTGAAATTGAAATAGCGGAGTTAAGATCTAACCTTGATTCTGCAGAGAGGTTCGTTGTTGCTGTTGTTGTTGTTGTTGTTCTTCTTCTTCTTCAGAGCAAGGAATAGTTGTTACTTATTTATATCTGTGGTTGAGGCGAGGTGTTGAGGTAAATAGGATGAAGAACACCCAAGCATAGTGAGCAATGGTTAGTGCGTTGATCCGAGTTTCCTGAATAATTTTAACAAACTAAGCCACCAACTACTTGAGTTAATCTGAGAACTGAGAACAGTAAAGCAAAATTTTGGGCAGTATGGGTTATGTTAGTGGTGCGTCTGTTTCTATTATTATCTCTAGGAGACTAATGCTTGTTCACTCAGTTATTGATCTCTTGAGGACTTGAAACATTGATGACGTTATGATGGTTGATACTTTTGGGGCATTTATTGCTTGAATGAATCAACTGGGGAAAATTATTCATTTTGATAAGATGCTATTGCTACTTTTATGTTGCCAACTAGGCCTGGTTTGGTCTCCAACATTTTCTTTTTGAATTATCCTTTCTAGGGACGTTTCAGATTGTTCAAAAGTATTTGCTATAATTCTTACATGCAGGGATATCTTAGAGCTTACTGAGGCCATAAAAATTAAAGATGGGGAGGCAGAGGCTTACATATCAGAAATAGAGGTGCCTTATTTTATGTTTATAGCACTCTGCTTATTGAGTTTTCTCAGTTTATCCCAGCACACGATTGCTAACATTCTATATATTTGGATACCCCAAATCTTCCCCCACCCACCCCCATGGTTGATTTGTAAAATTACCTTCTTTTAGACTATCGGTCAAGCATATGAAGATATGCAGACTCAGAATCAGCATTTATTACAGCAGGTGACGGAGAGGGATGATCTTAATATAAAGGTGTGTCTTCTGATTTACTTGCACGTTCGAATAATTAACTTTGCCTTCTAGTTTAATGATTATTAATGCTGTTGGTAGCACAACGGTAAATTGTTGTTGATCATTGGTTTATGCAGTTAGTTTCAGAAAGCGTAAAATCGAAGCAGGTTCAAAGCCTTTTACAATCTGAAAAGAAGGCCTTGGGAAAACAGCTTCAACAAATTAATGCATCTCTCGAATCTCTCAGAACTAAGATCATGCTTACTGAAGATCAGGTTAGATTTTCTTTTCTTTTGCAAAGGATGACAATGACCTGCCTATCAATCAATATAAGGAAAGGACCTTTATTATTCTGCAGATGAAGGCCAGCCTGACTGAAGTAATTAGATGTACCCAAGAAGAAAGACATCTTACCATTAGCCTTGAAACTGCAAAGTGGGAGCTAGCTGATGCTGAGAAGGAATTGAAGTGGCTCAAGTCCGCATTTTCTTCTTCTGAGAAGGAGTATGAGCAGACACAGCAGCAGATAACTGATACTGAAGTAGAATTGGAGAGCGAAAGGTATGTTTTAGGAGTATTTTCAGGTGTTCGTCCACTAATTTTATATGAAAGGAAGTAATGTCATCTTCATTCTTTCCTAGTTCAAGACACGGTAGAAAACCATTATTTCCTCGGGCAAGTGCCAGCAGCTGAATCTGTAGCATTTGCAATAGTATAGTTGTTTTTCTTTGGAGGACCGTCTGACGGAGAATACTAGTAGAGTTTAATATCACGTCAATTTTCCTGTATAGGAGTTGATCAATCTGTGGATTCGTGTATGCAAAAATATGTTACTGATAGCTTCCTAACCAATTAAATAAAATTTTACCCAGATCGTATACTGCATAGGTTTCAAGTACACATGTTTATTGTCTGACTGCAGCGATGCAAACTTCATATGTGCCTCTAACTGAAAAATCATTTTCAACAGAAGTTCCAGGGAGAAACTTGAGGAAGAGTTAAGGGAATTGAATAGTAAGGTGGCCAAGTTGACTTCTGAAACTGGAGAGGCTGCTATAAAGAAATTGCAGGATGAAATTAATGCTTGTAAAACTATTCTGAAGTGCAGCATTTGTAATGATCATCCAAAGGAGGTAAGATTTCATATAGATTGTTACAAATATGGACTTTTTGGGGATGTCTTTTCCTGATGATTTACTGATATCTACTAATGATTTTGGCAGGTTGTAATTGTGAAGTGTTATCATCTATTCTGCAGTTCATGCATTCAGCAAAGAATTGAACGCCGGAATCGCAAGTGCCCTGCTTGTGGAACTGCATTTGGTCAAAATGATGTTCGGTGTGTAAAAATATGAATCTGTAGAAGTTGAATGGATGCAATTAGAGAGCTTATTCTTGTTTTTTCACTATGGCTGGTACGTATTAGTTTTGAGTAGTATTGTGCGCCTTCGAAAAGCAAAATACAAGAAATAAAATTTGGAATTTTAAACTTGCTGGAATATAAATGGTAAGGGACAACATCTAAAACTTGTTTACAATACATTGTTCAAGATTCTAATTTTTGTACAACATTTTAACAGTTTTTTTCACTAGGTAATGTGATAAATGTAAGGGACAATATCACAGTATTGAAAAGATAAAAAGAGCATTCTTTAAACGGATGGTTTCCAGGGGAAATTTTTGTAATTTATTGGCCTTCTAAATTCTTAACCTTAATCTAAAAAGGGTATCAACTAGAAAGATTAATGTCTGAACCTGCTAAATCTAACGGGCAACCAGTGAAAATTGGTCGTTTTCGGCCACCCATGCAACAATGTCCCACACTACGACTGGGGAGGACAGTCAGAGGTAGCGAGGGATCAAGAGAAGATTCTTTCGGAGATCAGGGAGGCTAACTGGGAGAGAGAATAGTGAGGACTACCGTCGTATAATGGATGAAACTGGAGGCCTTAAAGATGACTGAGGAAATTATCAAAATCGAACCCCGCCCCTCATAGGATCCATTGAAAGGGTACGACTATCATTCACCAGCAAAGCATCAACTCACATCCATTCCAAGAAATCTATCATATTTTTTAGCGAAACATGAATACAAAAGTCAACTTTTCTATATCAGCAAAGAGTGCTCATTCGGACCTTAGCAGGCTATCTGAGCTTTTCCCTCTGTCGTAGAAGTGCAGCACTTGACAAATTCAGAACTACAAACACCCAATGCACTTCAGCAGTTTTCACCTTGGCGGATTGCTCCCCTGCTGTTGTGTACCAGCTACAGATGTAGGCGAGAATGGATCATAAACTTGCTGCCCACCGGAAATGGGAGGTGGCCTACCAGAAACAAACGCCAGATTGCTACTGTACCGTGGGGGAGTAAAGCGGACTTCAGGTCGAGGAGCTCGCATGGGGAAACATTGTTCAAGTTGCATGGCATTCCCGGGTCTGTGAGTAAAATTGCGTGGCAAGTTCGGCATTTGCATTTGCATTTGCATGGCTGGACTAAAGTTTCCTTGATGCAGTTGTGTTCGAGGACCTTGATCGAGGAAAGCAGGAATCCTAGCCGAGACCTGCATGCCAATAGGATTTGAAGCTACCTCTTGAATTTGATGATTACCTATCTGGCTGCCAGCTTGAGGTCCGGGAAAGGGTTGATTGGCAGCTCTCATAAAATTTGGGGCTGCTGGATGGAAAGATGGCGCCCCAGATGCAGGCTGTTGCAATGTAGGTACGGTAGGTGTGTTTTGAATGTTCAAATTCAGAATTGTATGAGGAGATGGATTTTGTGGACCACGTGGTTGGAATGTAAAATTGCTGGTATTGGTAGGTGGTGTTGGAGGGGTTGAAGCAGATCCAGCAATGAAGTTACCAGCAGGATTATGTGCTGCAAATAGTGGGCGATGCCCCATCTGGGGTGACGGAATTGGAGGTGTAATAGGGTGATTTTTATGTATACTCATAGCTTGGGGGGTGGGCGGCCCAGAAGTAAAAGATGCATATCCATCTACATTGGCTACTGCTGCATTTGCAGATGCTGTGCCAGAAGAATTAACACCATGCGGTGGAGCTGCACGAGGCAGAAAGGGTGGGGCAATCGATAGAGCCATCTGCCCCATGTTATTTGGACCCATAGATGCTGAGCTGCCAACTGCGGGACCAGAAAAACCAGTAGAAACTATGCTAGGTGCTAATGGACGGTCAGGCCGTGGTCCAGGAGGAATGCTACCAGGAACAAGTTGAGGCAAAGCTGAGGGAATTGATGATCCTGGCATATTCGGGAGTGGTCCTGAAGGTAATTGACCACTACCAGTGAAGTTTGGATTTGAGACATTAGAAGGAACCAATGAGGGGCGTTGAACTGTCAAAGCATTTACTCTGGGTTGGCCAACGTGACTGGTTTGAGTCATGAAAGGTTGCTGCAAGTCCTGTGCAGGAAACTGCTGTCTTGGAGGAGGAACAGGAGGGCCCCGGAAAGCTGGATTGAAAGCAACTGGAGCAGGTGGACGAGAAAATGATGACGGAGGATCTTGTGGGGAAATAAATGCAGGAGCAGGCGGTAAATTGTGAGAAGGCCATGCACTAGGATAACGAAACTGGCCTTGCATCGGAGTTGGCGCATAAACTTGTAGTTGATGCATAACCCCCTGGTTCGGCACAGGAGTCTGCCCCATATTTGAGACTGTAGTACCCTCGGCTCGGCTGGAAGAACTTTCCTCCGTAGAAACCAAGTCAGACAATGTGGAGCCAGTGGCCAGATTTCCCTGTGAGACGAAGGCAATGAGTTATAAATAATGAGAAAAAATTGTCTAAAATAAGATGAAAACCGTGGAGATCAGTTCTTTTTCTTGACGCAAATGACTAACCGATATTGAGGTGATTAGGAGTTCAATAACAGAAATTGCAGCATCAATCTTATCAAATGTATCAGCTGACATGCAAACGTACAGCTCTTCATAAGCGTTCTGAGTTTCGTGTACATCAGTTGGTTTAATTTCATCCTGTAAGAATAAGGGAAGGTGGGGGGAAGCAAAAAGAGTAAAAATATTGTCATGCCCCAGATTCTAAAAATATGGTCCTTCGGCTTTTCTTTGCAGTATAGAACATACTATGACTTTCATTTCATCAGAAAAATATTTTTGACTTTCATGATCTAAGGGTTCACCTTTTCACCTGTCCCTGCTTTAATGCCGCAAATTCGTATTTTGGCTCCAGTCTCCTGACATATTTAGTGAAGGAAATATCTATTAAAAGTTTATGAAACAGAGATAATCTTTAGTACAACATCTCATAATCTAAAATGATTTTTTTTTTTACCTTTTCTAATCGCTTTTGATTTTCACCACTGGGGCCATATATTAAGCCAATAAAGTTGTAACCAGGATATTCTTTAACCTACGAGGTAAATTCCATATGATCAGGGAAACAATAGCTTAAACTGGTCTACAAAAACTACATAAACGGAGGGAACTCAGAACGAATGAGCAAAAATCTCCAATGCACTGGAGCATTTTAAACATCACATTAGAGAAGATGATTATGAGATCTCTCCGTTACTTCGGCACCTCCTCAGAAGGTAAAATTCTCAACTTTAACATGAAATAAGTTCACTAAATTCGCAATATATAGATTCCATTTGGCGAAGGAAAATATTTCCTAGCATGATGGGATTTTATAAATGAAGTGAATGATCCTCATGTAGTAGGGGGACATTAAAAAAGATCATGATTGACTTGTGAAAACGAGAAATACAGTGCTATAATTAGATACCCTTGCTGCTACTTTCTTGCAATTTTCCATTTCATCAACGAAAATTTTCTTTTTCCTTCAAAGAAAAAAAAAAAAATCATTCCAAGTCCCATCATATGTTAAACAGGAAAAGTTATGATCGAGACATAAAACATGGTTATCTTTGAGTGACAGAATGATTAAGTTCATATGTTTCTAGTTTCCTTGAGGAACAGAGTGAATAAAATAAAAGGTTAATATATTCACTAACCACAGAAGAAAAGTAATCCAAGACCAATCTTACCGGGAGAGGTAAGCTGTCCTCTTTCAACAAGGGCCTATAATCAGGAGGGGCCTTATAACTTGGATTCAGTTTTAGTATTTCACCTGTATCAGCAATAAAATTTCTACAGATAACAAAAATAATTCAATTCGAGGACATAATAAAAACAAGTCGCTAACTAAGTATACCAATAACTTCACGTTTTTCAAGTTCCAAAAGTTCATTGTTCAGCGCCTGTATATTCTGAAGAAGGCATACATCAAAATCATACAAAATAATGACAGTTATACATTTATTTGTTCTTATTTTCTTAAAACAACAGTTCCATTATCCAAAAAAAAAAAAAAAAACAGTTCCATAGCCTACGAAAAATACTGGTTGAGGAAATAATAGGAGCTCTGAACTTACCTTATTATTCCCTTGAGGTCCAGGGGAATTATCATCCACATTCTCAGCTTCAGAAACTTGTGTCTTTGGAACCTCCAAAGTTCCAGATTTAAGGAGTACCCTGATTTGTTCCAATCGAGTCTGCTCAAAATATGTATAACCATAGAGGCAGTTATGTCACTAAGTAGCACTTGGAATGGGAATCTTCCATGCGAAACAGTCACACAGAAGACTGAGCAGGAAATTATCCCAGATAATACATCAAATAAACCAACCCCCAAATTGGTAGTGATTCGTTGCACTTCAAAAGCTCACAGAATAAACAAGATGAAGGAGGGGAATACACGTTTTCTATTGATTGTGAAATGTGACTTCAACACATGCCATTCATACACGAAAAAGTGCGGCGGGGTGAAGACAAAGAGTAGAAATCCACAAATACCTGATAAGCTATGAGCCTCCCCTTTCTGACAGCAGTATCCTGTGTTAAATCAGGACCCCACTTTGTATTTCTTTGGGTCTGTTTCACATTTTCTCCATTAGCGGATTCATTCCCTCCCAACTTTTTGTTCACTCGGAAGATGGGAACCAAAGACCCTGAAAGTTTGTTTTTTGGTATAACAAACCCAGTCTTTGCTGCAAACATGGAAACCTTTTGGCTTCCCATAGGTGCAGCAGAAGTAACAGTTGCTCCAGACATCTTTGCACTTCTAGACTCGATACAAGATGCCTTTTCAACCTCTGCACTCATATTCTTCCCCAATCACCTTAAGAACATATGATATAAAACATATATGAGAAATCAACGAGTACATATAACCTTGAAATTGTCATTTACACTCTTTTGTGTAAAGAATTCCCGAACAACATAGATCAAATGAACAAGAAATTCGTATGACCCTGTGTATAATAATATTTTATAACAGTTCATAGAATGACATGTGGTAAATAGCAAGGGGATATCAGTTCGTGGAAAGATCAGACATGGCGCCTGGTAAGTTTTTAATTAACTGAGGTAACTTAACCACAATCTTTTACAGAAGAAATGTTCTATTCATTTGACAATCGGTCAGTAAAAGGGACCTCTTGGAACCAAATTCTATATAGCAATATCCAACATTCACGGATATTAAAAAAACAATTACTTAGCTATTACATAAAACATGATCTCAAACTCTTTTGTCTAACTAGAACACGTTAACAAGACTGGAACAACACTCAACTGTGCTTTGATTAACAGAAAAAGACTGTTCTTATACACATAGCACAAATAAAATTATAATCACATTTGACACATTTCTCTAGAACGCCATAATCTTTGTGATCGTGATTCATGAAGTTAGCAAATGTTATATTTACAAGAAAACACCTCCACCTCTCAGATTGCAAATCTTAGCTGCTGGTCTCAAAGACAACGAAATTAGAAATTAGAAATTGCTTCAAATTTTCTTGCACCCAATGGAATTACATAGCTTAACAAGAAATGCTGGTGCAAAATACAACTTTGTTGCTTATTTTGGAGTTGCACTGGGAAGAATGGGGCTAACAGTAAACTCCATTTTGCTTTCCATACCCAAAATCATCTCAACAACGAAACGAAAACCATGCGAAAGAGAAATGAAATTACCTGAACCACTATCTTCTTCAGAACTGAACGCACGATGAAGAATTGCCGCACATAACCAAGTTCTCTGGGAATGGCTTCAGACAGACACGGTGTCTCCCGTCCGGCGTCCGGTATGCGGTTCCCTTGTTTTCAGCTCATTGGGCCGACCCGGTTAAGTTCCAACGCCATTGGGCCTTATCGCAGAGAATTCTTGGCCCACTAAAATTCGGACCGAAGTTCATTTAATTTCATCCTATATTTTCTTAAGAACCTTTAATATTATAACACATACATTAATAAACCAAAACTGTATAATATTTTAATTAAAAAATTATTGAATTATTGAGATTAAATTTAAAAAAACTGCACCAATAGAATAATATGAAGATGCGAATATTATAAAATAATGGGGAAAACAATGTAAGAGGCGTTAACAAAATTTTGCACCTTCTCTTTTGGCATACACTATTAATGTTTTGAACTACTCCTATAAATCATTAATGAAACCGTGCCAGATATAGAAACACTACTACCATAAATAATTTTACCTTGTATCATGAATGCTCGTTCATTGTTAATAATGATATGTAGCTTTCTTTCATTCAAATTTCAAACCCTCCATTTTCGAAACCAAATTATTATTACTGAAAATCAATTATTATTTCAAATCGAGGAGAACAAAAATCGTAGAAAATTAATTGAAATAGGATTTTGTGTATTTATATTTGTTCTTAAAAAATGTAAATATGTTTTAGTATTTCCCAAAAAAAAAAAAAAAAAAATGTAATATTCCATTTCTCGATGGTCCTCTCTTGTTTGCATACTTCGAGGGTTAGGCTTCCAATTATGGAACCCAAACATTGTACTAAAAAATAATAAATACTCTGTTTTTTAATTTTTGTTTATTTTAATTTTCTTAATATTTAATTCTTAACCAAATTCTAGAAGGTAGAACAATTTTTTTTAAAAGAATGAATTTTGAGAATATCTTCCGTTAAATGTAAAGAAATTTATAAATAGAAATAATGTTTATAATATGAAAATTTAAAATTGTTATTAATTACAATACCACCTTTTTTGGTTGTTGTAAGTTGGAAAGTTAAGTTGCAGCTTACAATATTATGATATTGATAACTCAGATTATTAATTAACTCAACTTTACATCGCCTCACCTATCTCTATGCGTCTATCCATACATTTTGCTTCATTTCGGTTATAATACCACCTCCATCTGCCTTTCAAACCTAACAATCACATAAATTAAAAGAAAAAATAAATCATTAATGATGCCAACTGTTGTCCACATCAAAATCATAATACACTACTTTTAAGTTGTGGCTTTGGTCCCAAGACCTGCCTTGGCCAACAGCTGAAGGGCCAAAATAGACTGATGCCCCCGCACCCCTTGGCACCCCATACAAACCCGGACGCCCTAAATGTCTCCAAGAACTCAGCCGAGTAACCAACCCGCATCACTCGATAATGCCATGGAACATAACTCACAGGCAGGCAAAAGACATCATTATATGCCACTCTTTTTCATAATTGTGAGATCCCACATCACTATATGCAAATAGTATCATAGTGGGACACCAAGCGATTTGCATGCGAGGAGACTAAGCCCTCAGATAGTGTGAAAACAAAGACACTGGCTCTCGAAAAGAGTGGATTGGAGAGTCCCACATCGATTGAAAAAGGAAACGAAACGAGAATCAGCAAGAACGCTCGGGTTTAATTACAATCGGTTGGCATCCCCCACGATGTTTATAATGGACCTCTTCCGGAAGGAATTGATTATGAAAGTGAGGGAGGGTAAGAATAGGGCCAAAAAGATGGAGGTAGGGTGGGCAGTCCAATAATATAATTACAATGCAATATATTATGAGTGGGTGTAATAACTGCTAAACCAACCACCCACTTCCTTTATTTCCCATCCGCCATATCATACACCATAAAGCCCCCACTCCCCTTCCTCCCCTTCCTCCCCATCCATTCTGCCGCGCATTGCCATCCCTCCCAACCCGAGTCATGGCCTCCAAATCCTCTTCAACTAATTATACGGCTCTCATCCCATGCGCCATGGCGCTCCTCTTTGTGGGGTTTGTGAGCTCCAACGTAGACCAAGACAGGGCAGAGTGCGCGGACCAGGTGGTTGGGCTGGCCACTTGCTTGCCGTACGTGGGCGGGGAGGCGAGAGCACCGACGCCGGACTGTTGCAGTGGGCTCAAGGTTGTGCTTGAGAAGAGTAAGAAATGTCTTTGTGTGTTGATAAAGGACCGTAACGATCCAAGCCTGGGACTCAAAGTTAATCTTACGCTTGCTCTTGGACTGCCTAATGCATGCCATGCCCCTGCCAACATCCAAGACTGCATCGGTATATTTCATTGTTATTATTCCTGTGGCTTTAGTCTGAATTTTGATGCACAATTAATCCGAAAATTAAAGATAATATACAAGTTTATGTATTCTTGTTTTCGGTAATTGAGTATGTGGGTTACAGGGCTTCTCCATCTGTCGCCCAACTCCCAAGATGCTAAGGATTTTATGGGCTCCAAGGGAGCTAACACTACAGCCGCACCTGCTGGTAATTCCCATGTTTATCTCTTAATTATTTTATTAATTACATTTATTAAAGCGTATTTCTAAATGCTAGTTAAAACAATGGTTTGCAGCGCCTGGGAATTCCACCCAAAGTCCCATGGAGAAAGGTAGCGGAATGAGGAATCAATGGTCGAGTGTGGAGATGTTCATTGGGTTTCTCACTTCATCGCTTCTATTCACTTGTATTTGGTAGTTCTATTTTTATTTTGTTGTCCCCACCACAAACTTTTTCTTCTTTCCAATTTAACCTAATGTCTGAACTATGATTAAATGGTTGAAGTTTTATTTTCATGGAACTACACATGTATATTTATATAAGGAATTGGCTTAGGATTCTTCATCTTTCCTTCGTAAATTAAATTAAAAAAGAACTAAATCAGACTCACTAAGGGTCTCCTAGGTTGGTGTAGGCGTGCATAAAGCACAGCCCATTTGACAAAGTGATCTCCTCGAGCTTGGGCATGGCAGGGATTGGGTCAAGAGATGTAATTCCTTTAAGCTCACAACCAACTACCTACCATCTCGTCTCAAAGCTTGAGTGTTTTGCCTTCATCTTCATCTTATTTTACCCTTTGTAGACGAGTTCTAAACATCTAAAATCACTTTTAATAATTAGTATTTAATAATTTAGTCCTCACGGGAAACACGACCAATGAATGAGCTCAAGCGGGAGATGAGCATTTGTCAATCTGGATCACCCAGAATCAAGCAAACGAGTTTATCCTATTCTCGTCTCCCCAAATCTCCGTCACCCCACACCGCCATTGCTGTAGCCCCATACATTCCCTACACCATTCACCATCTCTAAGAACTGAAGAAGAAGACCCATGGCGGCTCCCACCACAAATTCTCATCTGGGTGTAATATTTTTCACCTCCTTCGTCTTCTTGGCCACACTTCCTTCGGTTTCTGTAGCAGCACCCGATGCTCCCACTGTCTATGATATCCTCACCCAATACGGGCTTCCCAGTGGCCTTTTACCTGACTCCGTCATCGACTACACCCTCTCATCCGATGGTCAATTTGTCGTTCACTTGGCCAAACCCTGCTACGTTGAGTTCGATTACTTGGTTTATTACCACAACACCATCACGGGGAAGCTTCAATACGGCTCCATCACTCATCTGGACGGTATCGAGGTTCAGAAATTGTTCCTGTGGTTCGATGTGAAGGAAATCAGAGTCGATTTGCCGCCTTCTGATAACATCTACTTCCAGGTTGGGTTTATCAACAAGAAACTCGACGCAGACCAGTTCAAGTCCGTCCACTCGTGCCAGGACAATGGTTTGGGCTCTTGCCTTGCCTCCTGGAAACGGATTCTTGAGGTATATTCGATTATAGTTTGCATTTCCCCCCTTTATCTCTATACTTTAGAATCTAATTTGGGGCTATTATCTTTCCTGATTATCATAAACTTATGGGTGTCCGTTAGTAATTGCTCCGCTCTGTTCATGCTTTCAACTCTATAATTGCGGTACTTTTACCGTTGTTCTATTCCGTAGAGAAAAATCTGTTGGACAGTAGTTTGTTAAAAAGTGTGATAGATTCTGTGAAGTTTGAAGAAATCTTGCTTTTAAAGCATGATGCCATGTATGAACTTGACTGCTAGAAGGACAAGCTCAAGGGAATATTGTCAGCATTGAGGGGAACAAAACATTTTTTATATGGATAGCTAGTAGTAGGTTTGGGCTGTTACAAATGGAATCAGAGCCAGAATGACAGCGAGGACGTTGGGCCTCTAAGGGGTGCGTTGTGAGATCTCACATCGGTTAGAGAGGGGAACGAAACATTCCTTGTAGACGCGTTTTAAAATCGTAAGGCTGACTGCGATACGTGACAGGCCAAAATAGACCATATCTGTTAGTAGTGGTTGGGCTGTTGTATCCAGAAGAGGAAGGATAGAAAAAGGAGAGCAGAATGTACCCAAATGACCAAAAGAATCAAACCATTTGAATTCGTGTGCTATAAGAAAGTTTATGATCATTAGCTTTACCATCATTAGCTCCTATGTTTCTGTTTCAAATTCTGCTTACGTAACTTTTTCCAGTGAACATAGTTATTTTGGGCGCCTGATATTCCAATATGTTCCTGTCTCGGTGCTCTCTCTGTTTCTATAACTTATTGTAAGTTTCAAGAATGGTACAGAGTGTGTGTTTTGGAGAGTAATTCTTCATATGCTAATACTTCTTCACATTGCTGCTCACAGCTCCCAACGCCAATAGACGACATCCAGATGCTGATCACTGAGTAGCTCGATGTCAGTTGTCAAAGCTCTTGAAGTTCTTCGGTTGCTGCATTATCTAAATTAGCCGCAGAAGTTTAGATGTTTTAAGGTATCTGGTCTCAGTTTAGACGCCAAAATATCAATGTCTATCTTTGAAGACCCATGATATGATATGACTGTGTTAATATTAGATTAGATTAGATGAGGCTTCTCAGTATGATCCTCAAAAAAGTGCCTAAAACTTTGGCATTTGAGGTATTATGAACTCAATGCATATGAATGATACGTTATATTAACCAAGTATGGAATGCTCACGTTTTACTCTATGTTTGTATTTGATTAGTGGGATTAAAGATCGCATAATTCTCAAATGCCATGGTTCAATGCGAGAATAAAGAATCGCATTACAAGGGAAAATCTTTTTCAATTATCTTCTGTTTCTTACGTTCTCTTCACTGTAGTCTTGAAGAAGACGTTATGTTCCATCTTTATTTATTTATTTATTTATTTTTAATTGTAAAAAATGGTTGTCATCCATAATTCACGTCCAAGATTTGATATTTGTTTATTGGGTCGAGAATATATATATACTTCAAAAGTGATTTATTGTTGTTTTACCGAACAAATAATCGAGTAGAATTAAATTATAGCATGTGGTTCATGTGAAGGAATGGAACAAAAATAATATAAGAAAAGAGATATAGAAACTTGTCCCGAATTCAAGCACCCTGTTGAAATGCACCAAATGATATGCAATATAATAAGCCAAATTGGTGGTGGGTGTTGGCGTTGGCGTTTCCTTTCAGCATCATTTTTAAATGGCGCTCATCTTGTTGCATATAAAACCCAACTCCATTGCCAATCCCACTCCCAAACAACATTCAAACTCCCAATCTCTCAGTCTCAGATCCCATTACTGCAATGGAAAGCTACAGAGATATCTTCATTCAAGTGCAGCAAGAACAAAAAGGACAAAGATTCTCCACAAAGAAGCAACCAAACGAAAAGGATGACATAAACCAAAGAGCTGAAGCTTTTATTACCAACTTTCGTAATCAGCTAAAGATTCACTGACCCAACCGTCTCTGGGACTGTGAGATGATCCCATGAGCAAAGATCTAAACTCTTATCACCTTTGTTCTTTTGCTATGTCAATAAGTTCCTGTAGTTGCTTTGTTCCTCTGAATCTCCTTTAATTCATCATATATGTTTCAGCACACAATAAATGTTTGAATCTTTTTTGGGTCTTGTGTTGTTTATATTCACACAGCCAGATATCTCCAAGATTAGACAATACTAGCATAAGATCTCCCACAAAATAAACAAAACTAGCCTGAGATTGATTAACAAGATTTACTTACAAGTATTTGCTTTCTGTTCAAGAATGTAATGAAATCAAATTCTAGAACTAAGCCCTCCTCCTGTAACTAAATCAACAGCTTCACCATTAGGCATTCTGAAGGCAACTAACGAGGTCAGGTCAGACTTGATTGAACCAAATCCATCTTCTCTCCGAAATAAGAGTTTCTCTGTGCCTTCTTTCACCGCATCGTTGAAAAATATCATTCCGCCGTCCTGCTTCTCATGCCTGGAGGACTTGACAATGCACAATATGACTTTTCAAGCCATTTCTGCCAGCTATGCTGAACAATAAATTTGAAACTAGTGTCCTCAACTGACCTTTCCCAGCAATATTTTCCCACAGGTCAGGATTGCTCTCAACCCTTTTATCCGGACTTGAAACATCAACTAGACTGATGCTCATGTTGTTGCGAATAATGCAAAGCTTCCCGTTAAGCGAAACTAGCGCAGCAGCCTCAAGAGCACGAGAACTTCCAAAATGGAGCTTGCTATCGATGAATTTGGTCCATGAGTCTGTTGCACCATCGTAAACCCTGAGCTTGCATCCATCTTGGCAATCCAAGGCATAAAGTTGTCCATTTAAAGAAATACTCGGGTTGCGCCAGCCAGCAACCATCCCATCACTTACCGTTGTCCAAGTATTAGTTATGGGAGAATAGGCTTCACTCATGACCTCTCTGCGAGTTCCAAGTCCTTTCAGGAACCACAACCCATCATGAACTACACCAATGAATGGCAACATTGCCGAGCTCATATCTGAAATAAAGCTCCATCTGTTCTTATTGGGATCATAAACTTCAGCAGAACGAAGAGTTCTATGGATCCCCTCACATTCACCGCCAGCAACATAAAGGCAGTTATTAATAACACAAGAGCCGAAACAATGACGTTTCCGAAGCATATCAGGTGCTCTATGCCATTTGTTTGTACGGGCACTGTAGAAAATCACTCGCCTCATTGATCCCCTTATTGGATCTTTCCCTCCAAATAAGTATAGGTGGCAACCACTAAGAACAGCACAGCCAAAACCGAGGGCCTCGGAGTATTCAATGGGGACAGGTGGAAGTGATTGCCAAAGCTGGTAGGTAGGATCAAAGGCATGCCATGATATCCTTCGGTCACGTTCCCTTTTGATGACGTAGACCCACTCTTCGGCCATGCCAAGACTTTTCCTTAGAGAATAATAGAAGTTTCCCATCAGGAGTCGATACCATCTCTTACAGACAAGGCGGAGTTTCCTGTGTTCCACTCGAGGGACTCGAATTAGACAAGCAATGGCAAGATCGTCAGGAAGGCCTGGTAGGAGTGGAGGCTGGACTCGGTTCCTTTCTCTCCGCGAAGTTTTACTTCTATGTGCATTTGGATTAATATCAGGCTGGATACATATTTTTGTGCCAGGGACGAATTTTCTAGCTCCAACAACTGTTTTCAAGCCTGAATCTACTTTGCAATAACACGACACAGAATCAACCTACAATGTATTTTCAATTAGCTGCAAAAAAGTTTCCATGACAACTTCCAAAAAAGAAAAAAGAAGCCAACGTTAACCCAACATATCTTCAGTTAGATGCAAAAATGTTTACGACAGCAACTTGCCAGAAAGGTGCCAGAAAGGTAAAAAGAAGACAAAGGTGACCCATATGAAACCCAGCGAATCATGTATGGCTTTCAATTGACGCTTAAACTTTTGCCACCATATTTGGATGGTTGGTCGGTCTTATGACTCCAAGTATTCTAGAAAGGACAATAATGAGCCCAGGGATTGTGCCCAAATATCTATCTTTGATTCAATAGAAGTAAAGGGCACAGCTCCTATGGGGGCTGTACTATAGGATTTCTGAACCGACCACGCTGAGACGAAGACCATAACAAAAGAAGTTAAAAGATGCGAGCACAACACGCCACTCCCTCCAAGAGATGAATACTTTTGTAAATATCAACGGAGTGCAATGAAAAGTCTCACTCAACATGCATATTTTTAATTATCTTATGAAGCACTCATCTGTGCATATTTTTAATTAAATCTATTCACCAATCAATGCATCTCTTTATAATTCACAGGGATCTCACACAATGCAACGAGAATCTTCAAATTTTGTAATCCTCATAACTTCTTTCATGTGTTCAGATTCAGTAAAAGTAATAGAATGATGGGCATCAAAATTTGCGAAGCCTTTCCACACAAAGAAAGGATCATCCACAATTTCTTTCTTTTTCCTTTTTTTTGGTTAAGAAACAGACCTTTCATGGAGAAAAATGAAAGGATATAAAACAGTTTCTACAATAGGATGGCAAATGAATAACACCAGAAAGAAAATTGTTCAAAAACAAATCCAAAATCCTCATGAAAGACCTGAAAACTTGGAATCAATTCTTAGAGAAGGTTGAGAACATAATCCAGCATCCAGAACGCGTAAAAATAGAGCTCGGAAGATTATTTAGAAAATTCAACAGAATGCTGACGAAAGAAGACATTAACTAGACAGATGCGCTCGTAAAGACCTACCGCAGAAAACCCAATAATCGAATTAAGATGCGATAGTTTTAGATTGAGTTAAAATAAAAAAATAACCCCACCGCTGTTTTACCATAAATCCCCGAAGTGAAAATCGTAGAGAACAAATGCGAGGTGTTGAGGGCCAAGAAAAGGCAGAAGAGCGCTGGTAAGCGAAATTAGGCAGACCATACTACATAATTTCCATGGATAATCTACTCGGCTACTCTATGGATGACAATGATAGGATAAAGCAAGGCAATTAGACAGGAAAACGGTACAAAGGGAGAGTATATTTGGATTGGACTAACCAGTGGAGCTTGAATTCGAATTCCCCTTTGAGGTCTTGAAGAGTGTTCAACCGATTCGTTCATTTCGGAAGCAAAGAATCATAGATTCAATTTCCAGGCGCACCCTGCGTGAAAATCAAGGGTAAAGAAGGCAAAGCAGACTCGGATCACCAAAACTTCAACCCTTCAAGAATCTGATCTAACAGAGGGAATTGAACCCGTTACGATGAGCGTTTGACCCGAAGAACCGCTTACAAGAAACCAAATATGAACCAGTTTTCTCTCGGTAACGCGCGCACAGATTTCTGATTTTTGGAAGCATCAGATTTAAAACTATTTTTCAATGAGAGAAAAGGACAAGAAAGTGTAATGAGAAGGGTGGTGTTTGTTGTTACCATTAATGGGTCAAAACCCAATTTTGAGGGGAAAGAAGAGATAGACAAGTCAATGTCATTCAGTGGAGAGCCCTTCCCCTTCCCCTATTTCACTTCTGCCTTTCTCTGGACATGGATTCACAAACAAAGTGAAATTATTATCCACGAAGAAATTGCCTTAAAGCATTAAACACGAGACAAGTAATATCATCACTGTAATGATCGAGTCCTGTGCATCATTTTTCTCTTGGCTTTTTATGGAATATTTCTTGCAGAAAAAGGAAAAAAATAAAAAATAAAAGTGTTCGCAAGGTAGTTTTAATTGCTATTTGTTTGCTTGTTTGAAAGTTTCTAAAGTTTGTGAAAATTGTTTACTGTGCGGACACTAATTATGTGAAGATATGAATGCTTTTTCTAACCAAATTCAATAAATGAGGGACCACTGGTCCACGCCCTTATTCTGATGCCTCTGATTAAATATGATATCGCCCAAACCACAACATCATACTGCTCCCCCTAATCTTTAATCCATTGGAATTGGAAGGCTAAACGCTAATGAGTGAACTTGAAACTGTACAAGGCAAGGATAGATTTACTATGACAAGGTCACGAGGATTTCCGTAACTTGCTTTCTATTATCTCTATCATCAATACTTGTTCAATTAGAGTACAATAAACCCATAAAATCAGTCCAAACAGTAGCCTGGTCACACAAAATGTTCAACATGAAATCATAGACAGACGCCACAACCTTCTAATGTTGCAGAGAGAGAGGAAACTTACTCGCTCTTAATTGGATAGAACTAAAGTCTCACAACACGGAGAAATATAAAAGCTAAAATGTGTACAATAGTTTCATTCTTTGAAGTATGTGAAAGAAAATTTAACCCAGCAAAACCTGGTCTCTACGTTCTGAAATCATAAGGCCCTAACAGATGGTTTTCAATTTATTTCGGGTCAACAACAAAATAGTACAGAAACTATGAAATTCTTCAAGAAGGGGGAAGAAGAAGAAGATACCCCCAACAAGCTCGAGGAATACCCAAGCAAACTGGGATTTAAAGAACTTTGGCATAAGTGATGGAAAACGCAATAGCTGCCGAACGGTAAAGCCCTGAGATCTCTCCACCCACCATATTATCCAACTGATAAGAGACGAGCAAAAAGAAATCCTACTTTGTTAGTACCATTTTAACCAACACCTAACGAACACTGCACACAACTCTACATTCCTAATGGGCCCCAAAATGGACAACGGTTTCTCCTTTTTCCCCCCATAATGACAATAAGTTTCGACAATAATCACTTTTAACACCAATAGTCGAAGAAAAAAAAAAAAAACAATACTCTATTCAGGCAGAAACAGGTTCCTCTACCCATCACCTAAACACTGTAAATAATTTAAAAGCGTACATGTTAGTCCCATGCACTAGTCACCCCTGAACCACCGTACCCTCCCCCTCCATATCCACCGGAAACACCACCATAACCCCCACTGTTGCTATTGTTGTTGCTGCCTCCACTATAATAATCAGAACCACCTCTGCTGAAAGAGGAATCCCTTCGATAGTCACGGCTACCAAATCGGCCTCCCCCAGAACGACGATTTCTCCCTCCACTGTATGAAGACCTGGCAGCAAATCGTGATAGCCAATCAGGAACTTCTTGATTAGATTCTTGCATCAGATCAGCCAAGGACCTTGCTATGGACGAATTGTTCTCATTAAAGAAGGCAGTAGCTAAACCAGTCTTCCCAGCTCTCCCCGTTCGTCCAATTCTATGAACATAATCATCAATGTCATTAGGGAGATCGAAATTCACCACATGTGCAACATGAGGAATGTCAAGCCCACGGGCAGCTACATCAGTTGCCACCAAAATTGGCGTGTTCCCACTTCTAAATGACCTCAATGCTTGTTCTCTTTCCTGCAAACATGTATAAATACATAAAACAGGACCACAAATAAATTGTAAACAATCCAAATGCAAGAAATTATTATAATACGTGGTCAAACACAAATTTTAATCTCTCCCATGCATCAATGAGTATAAAACAACCATTATCGGTAACAACAGCTAGCCACCCTCAAATAACTTCATGGCCTGTAGCAGACACCCTCTTCTTAATTAGAAAATTACTTAATACTTGGAAACATGGACTGAGTAACAATAACATCTAAACTTCGCAGGAGGACAAGGAAACAACTCAGATGACAAGATCAAAATGAACTATCACATTCTAAAACACTATCCATCTGAAGCTGTAACTCAACTATCACAACTTCAGTCTTCACTTGGAACTCGCCATCTAGATTCAAAACATTCAAGACAAATTAAGACTGAACACTCCAGTAAAAAGCAGCTGGCCCTTCTTGCATTTTCCAGAGTTCCTATTGAAAAGTTTCTTACGATTCTTAAGAATAAAGCAAGACCTTCGTAGGGAAGTCTCACATTCCAAAACTAATGACAAAATCAACAAATAGAGACTGTTGAAGTTCCATGATTACATTTAACATCAAATTTCGGAACTTTTACACCTTCGTAGATTTAAAAGGAATCTAAAACTCAGAAACCGCAGTGGGTTTTGAATAATGCTAAGAATAATGAAATGGTCAGGAGACAAAAAGGGAAAGCAACAAGTCAACGAAGTGTAAAATATGATATAGAATATCAATCAACAAATCATTTGTAACTACAGAATAATGTTGCAACCTATTTCTTGAACGAACTTCAATTACTTAAGACTTTTATCCACGTAATAGGCAAAACTAAGTTCCCATTTACACAAGACTTCGCATATATGCCCGTGGATGTATGCATCATTGTGTACATTCATATATCCATGATCTTTTAAAAGTCTCCATTTTATCCTTCATGCATTAAATTTTTTAATTAAATCCTTAGCAGTTAACATTAAAGAGGATAACACAGAAATTTAAAATGACAAAAGATTAGAGCCATAATTAAATAACTAGACTGAATTAAATTAGTGTTTGATCACAGGAATTTTTAGTGACGAGGGGAGATCATAAACCATGTCCACAGATAGAATAAATTGAAAACGGTATACATAGAGACTTCTTGTTTTCAAAAAAACAGTGGAAGCGTTTTTACATTTTTGATAGGAAATGATATATTCCGTCAATGTGAGAAAATATAATTTTATGGTAAGAGTGACAATATATACAAAAAGAAAGGAGATATCCATCCCCAAGCTAGAGTAAGTCACATAAAAGCCTTCCACTTGGCACTGAAGGCTTAACATTATTGATTAGTTAGAGGTTCTGCTTAAGAGTAAAAGATTTCTCTCATAAGGGCAGAACTCGTCCACCAAATTGCCATAACCCTCTTGTTCAATGATATATCGTTTCTTTAATCGAGGCAGTTCAATTTTCCTTAACCTATACAGACATACGCACACACATTTTCAAATGATGAACCGCATAAAATAGAAGCAACAGCCAAGAAGGTAGCTAGTAGTGCAGTTTGGAATGCTAGGAGATACCTCCAAGGTCCCCAAGATCAAGTTCCTAGGGTAAAACTTAATAATGTAAAAGCAGAGATTAGTGGAGGGATGGGCTATGAGTAAAGCCTATATTCAATGTAATTTTCCCAGTGGGAATAATAACCGCAAATAGAAATAATAATTCCTTTACTAAGTGTTACTTTTTGCTACTTTTGTTTTTTTTTTTCCTTTTTTTCGGTTGAAGTGTAAAACAAGAAACTAGCACACTATATTTTCTGGGAAAAAAGATTAGAACAACTGCTTTAAGATGAAGATCAATAAGCTTTTTTTATTTGAACAAATTTCATCAGTTGACTAAGGCTGCATGGTGAACTGCCAGACTAAATGAAACAATGTCAAGCTATGGTCCTGTATATAGGTTTAGCCCATCAATGAAAGTTTCTATCAACAGGATTACCTTGAAAACAAAGAAAAAAAAAAAAAAAAAAAAAAAAATATATATATATATATATATATATATTCATGGGGGGTAGAGTAATCACAATTTCTCAACAACATAAATATGCCAGGCACGAATGTACTTACCTGTTGTGTTCTATCACCGTGAATGGTAGTGGCAGGAAAACCATTAAGGCATAACCAATGTTCAAGAGCATCAGCTCCCTTCTTTGTCTCCACAAAAACCAAAGTAAGAGATTGCTGCCAGTACAGAAATCATATAAAAATCTACATGAGGCATATTTCCTTAGCAATTTAGGAAATTCAAGATAAATGTTCTATGCCTAAAATTTAATATCCTAACCTAGAAATATGAGATTGATAGAAGCACAAGTCATAGAGATCAATTCATAAGAAAAACAGTTATTTAAATAACAAAAAAAAAAAAAAAAAAAAAAACCTAAAACCCCGAGAATCCTCACAATGATGGGTTAAATATAAAACATATACCTTGCCCTGCACACCATTTGACCTCTGTGCATGAAGAAGGTCCAATAAATGACTTCTCTTATCAGATTCATGAACAAATTCAACTCTTTGAGCAATTAGATCAGTACTTGAACCCACTCTTCCAACAGCCAGAAATATATAGCTTGAAAGAAAATCAGAGGCCAGTCTCTGCAAGAAACAAAGTCAACATAATATGAATTTGATGTCAGATGAGGAGTGCCCAAAACACATGCCTGTCTTTGATTCTAAAATGCTCCCCCACTTCAACACTACGTAATACAAAAATTGCACTTGATTTATACGGATAAGAAAAAGTAATACCATTAAGAATATAATGCATCGGAACACATAAAGTTGTACACATCCTGAAGTAGTACCTGAATCTCCCTTGGAAAAGTTGCACTAAACAGCATAGTCTGCCTTACACCAGGAGGAGGCATGTCCATTTGTTCTACTATTTTCCTGATTTGGGGCTCAAATCCCATATCTAACATGCGATCTGCTTCATCAAGGGCCAAGTATCTTATCATCTGCAGTGAAACTTTAGCCCTTTCAAGCAAATCTACCAACCTTCCCGGAGTTGCAACAAGAATATCAGCACCTCTTTCTAGATCACGTAGCTGATTTTTTTATTTAAAAAAAAAAAAGTATCAATAGTGCTAACCAAATAAAAATTATAAACAAGAAAATTCTAAGGACACGAGTGGATTGTGATGTCACAAATGAACCATAAAAAAGAATAGATCCTACACCTACTA